AAATAGATAGAAATGATGATTTGCTAAATCAAATGTGTAATTATGGGTGAAATTCGAAAAAAAAAAAAATGAAAGGTAGGAACGCTTTGCGCTAAATAGTGAAATGTATAAACATTATGTGCTAATTACCCTTTTAATAATTTATTTGGGATTCATGTGCGCTTTTTTTTTTAAAAATTGAGACTATGATTGCAATTAGTCTTTTTCTTTTTCTTTTATTTAAATAAAGAGGGTATATTCATCATTTTACAATTTTTAATTGATAAAATAGATGAAAATGACCTTTTGCGTAATGAAAGGTAGAAATAAGAGTGAAAATGTCAAAAAATGAAAGGTAAGGACGTTTTTCACAATAACAGTGAAATGTAGGGACGTTACGTGCTAATTACCCAATTATATTGTGTTATGTTGGATAGATATTAATTTTACTGTACAATAATTTATATTCAAAATAATCTTTTTACAGTTAATAAACTATGGACATAATTCTGACTTGCGGAATGAACGAAATAAAACAGAATGATAATGGTCGAGGCAAGAGTTCAATTATTTCTCATTAAGACGATAATACCCCACACTAGTGCTAACTATCATTCTGCACTCGTCTCCCAAAATACAACGATCTTTGTTTGTAATAGGAGCACTTAAATTACAAGACCTGACGAACTTACTAATGTTACGATTTCTCTAAAATAGAAGCACTTAAAATGCACAATAAATAATATTTGAGAGTAAAATGCACAATATAGAATAATGCAGAACGAAATGATTATTTTTTGCAAGAGAGAAAATCAGAAAATATTTTGAAATAAATAAAATCCGGTATATGAGGACCTACTTATAGAAGTTAAAAAATTGTGTCCAAAAAGACATAACAGTAAAAAAGTTGTATCGTGAACAGACACAACCCATTTAGATGGAGAGTTTAACAGTCAACCGCCGATTCTAGAAGACGCCACATATCACGCACAGAAAAATTTGAGAAATCAATAAATAAATATATTATTTACTTGGCCAAACCCACGACCCAAGATCCGTGCCCGTGCCAAGTCAATCGGTCGGACGACGGCACGCATGTGGGCTTTGGCTCAACCTACAACATGTAGGTCATTTCCCCTTCAAATACTATTGGTACCCTTGAGGTTAAAACCCAAGTTCCAAACTTGAGTAATATAAAGCGGTTTCTACTCTTCTAATTTTCTTATATGGGATTCACATTTTTCATTTTCCACCAATTTTTGTTCCTAATTTATTTCAATTTCAAGTGGTCATTTTTTGACATTAATTTCTCATTCGCCCTAAATTGGTTTTGAGAAAATAAATATATTACATTAA